CAAGATAGAGTTCGTTGAAGAAGTGAGCCTTATAAGCCGAATCTTTTTTGATTTAAAATCGGTAGGCGCTAAACCTCAATAAGTACCTTGAAAACTTATCTCGAACAAAAAATCCAGGAAAATTTTTGCGTGGACCCGCGGGCCTGGGCAGGGCGGCCGGGGTGACGCGTTCCCTGGGTGAAATGGAAGAGGGAAAGAAGCGAAAGAGAGCAGAAAAGGGGGTTGGGCCCCCTTTTCGCCATTTCCTATAGACGGGAAGAACGGCCATGGCAGGGAACGAGAGTAAGGGTAAAATCCGGAGGCAGCAGAGAAATCTGGAAAAGTTCACCGGGGCTTGCCGAAGATGAGAAAAAACGAAAAGGCACACAGCGCACTGCGTGGCTCTCCAAATCCGCTTTTGGAAGTTAAAATCAATTAGCGAGGCGGCTTTGAGGGGTGTGGTTTTCGTTAATGCGGGGAGAAGCGAGTTGGTAAAAGGAGAGGATCCAGAGTTCCTGCGCATAATTTCCAGTAGGGTCTGGACTGCTAGCAAGCTCTTTTAGGGAAGGCTTTATGCCTCTAGAGAATATAACACAAAAGGGAGGCAAGAGAAAAGAAAGAGGGAAGAGAGCGAGAGAGAGATAAAGAGCAACAGATAGAGCTGAATGTTTGGAAAAGGCCATACAACTAGCGAAATAGATGAGCAGAGATAAATGAGCACGAGATCGAGCGGGAGAAACGATTGAGAAAGTTATACGAATTACGTATTACCGCGAATTAATTACACAGCACAAAAAGTGCTGAATTCCCACGATAATAGCACTACGCGCTCGCTTTCGACGGCCTAGTTTTTGGTAACCAGGTGAAAACGTTTCAACAGCCAGTGATCATTTTGGGGCAATATCAAATTTGAGAGAATGGAGCGAGAGAGAGAGAGAGAGAGAGAGAGAGAGAGAGAGAGCGCGAGAGAGATAAAAAATTCCCGCGGTAGGGATAATAGGCGGTTCGCCCTTCAATCACAAAAAGCGATCCCGTTCCGAGATCGATGATTGGGACCGGGAAGTTGAATGCGGCCCGAAACCCTCCCAAAACCAGGATGTAGTTTTCTTTCGAGGTGTTGCTGGTGTGGGCAAAATTGCAACGCGATGTAATTGGATCATGGAGAGCGAAAACCAAAAACGGGAGCGTTGGCCATATTGGGTGCAACATTAAAAAAAAACTAATTGAGTTTGCGCCAGAGAAGTACGAATTAGGGGGTAACGGATACCTGGTAAGAGTTGTCCCCGGAAAATCTGCAACTTATTCGTGGCGTCCCGGTTGACCCAGGAATTGCATATAAACATGTTTTATATTGGCAGGTCAGGTGTTTTACACTCAGGTTTAACTCTATTTAAGGTCGAAGGAAATTCGAAAAAAGTTAGAAAAGTCTTTAAAAAAATTTGGCCATTCAGATCCAGAAAATCATTATTTCATCTAAATAAATTTTGAAATAGATTTGGAAAAGTTTTATGCTCAGGGATAAATATAAAACTCTATACGCATCACCAATTCATAAAAAAATCCAGGCTTACGCCGAAAAAAAAGTTGTTCCGAGGATCATAAAGGGCCTTCTGTATGGATTTTCTTTATCCAAAACAAGGCGGGTTGAGAGCATAATTTTCATCAATGCGTGAAACAAGGTTATCATTAACGCGTCGACATGGATATCAGAAGAAAGCATGCATTTGTAATAAGCATCTACAGGTAGTCCAAACGTAATAAGTTTTCTGTCCGTTAAAATGTGAAAATTTTGATCAAACTCCACCCTAAAGATGTAGCATTATCACCCCATTCGCGTGATCCGCAGATTGGCACCAATGCCCGAAATGAGCTCACGAATCCGGGTGATTTGCGAGTGGGCGGGGCTCAGGAAGGATTAATCTTGTAATGATTTTCCTCCTCCCGCGCCCGGCTTATCTTTTATCAGCGAAATCTACGTTCCGCGACCACCGAGGGACTGGTCCCCTATGAAATTTTCCCAGCTAGGAGGCGCGAATCGCACAGATTTTTTGCACAAAACAGAATGTCTCCTGAGAAATTTGATCTTTGAATCGGAGAAGTTGGTGATGTCAGAAAGTAGAACGGCTTTTTTGCGCTGGACAAAGACCGAACAGGGTTACTTGAACATACAAAGCCGTATGAGGGCGTAACCAGCTTGACTAAACCAAAATTAAAACTTGACTAAGAACGCAACCACAGCTAGCCATTTAAAAGCTTTGAAAGATAGCTAAAAGTCTGGATTTTTGGTGCAGGTTTTAGTCCATATTTTTGCAATTAAGATCCGGACTTTCCGTAAATTGGTATTTTTTGGATCAGAATCTGAACAGTTTGTTAATAAAACATGCGGAAAAATCCTGATTTGGGCCTTTTCTGGCAGCGAGACGACAACTTTTGGAAAGCCATTTGAGAAAACACTGCTCGGATAGAGCGGAAGCGGATTATCAAAATTTGAATTTTGGAAGAAAAAAAGCGTCACTTTTGTATGAAGATGCCAAAAATTTGGTAAAAATATTGCGGAATTTCGACAATATGAGAAGTCTTCGCTTGCCCAGAGCTTTCGATAAATACCTAAATCGTAAAAAATCGTATGAGAAAGCTGAGGACGGCTAGTGCCTGCGGAACTTTTCGGACCACCCTGTAAAAAAGCATAAAATCCGGAAAGCCCTGAAAAAATGAATATAATAGGATTATCAGCTCAACGATGCAAATAGTGACGTGCCCCTCTCTACGCGCCTGGATAATATTGTTAGGGGCGGCACCATGGTGCCTTTTATCCCAGCACCCCAGGCTACCCCATACCCCCTTGGGGAAATCAACTAACGGAACAGACTCCAAATTGCCTCGTGCTGGCTGCCATATCGCCCGTACACCAATGTTTACCCCCGGGGTACCGCCATCGCAAGGCTCGCAAATTGGCACCATGACCGCCGGTGATCTCTGGTGCCGTTTGCATAGCTGCTGATGGGGAACGGCCAGGGGCGTACGAGGGGGGCAACAGGCGCAAGTTGCCCCCCCCACCCCAAAATCGGCCGAAGGCCGAAAAGTTCATAAGGGGGACCCTTATGATTTTTCAATAAAATTTTTCTGCCTACGGCGCTGTTCACTACTGTTTTTAAGACGGTTTTTACTTCTGTGAAGCCTATTTTTCCAAAATTTTCTTGCCTGCGGCACTGTTTTTCATTAGTGTGTCAACTGTCCTCGACGAAAAATTTTCGAGTTGCCCCCCCAAAAATCGGGTTCGTGTACGCCCCTGGGAACGGCTATCAAATTTGGGGAAATTGGTGTAAGCGGAATTTGGCACGTACGGTAAATTACCGTAGCATGAATGTGTGAGGTATTAACCAAATGCATTGGTTGTAAGTTTGGTTGTCAAGGGGCCTGGAGTTCGTACTATTATTAAACCTCCTTTTTAAATAAGGTCCATCTGAAAATCGTACTGTAATATTTTCCGAATTTCGCATTCTACCGTATACCCTATTTTAGTATTCTAGTATAACGTGTACGCTGCCATTTCCAGTTCGAAAAAGCTCAAAGGAACGTTTTCAGAGCTAAAAACCTAGAAAAGTTAAGGCTGAGAAGAACAGGAAGAAACCAATGTAAGCCTTCGTTATGAATTCCGTTCAATTTAAAAAAAATAACTATTCCTAAATCCTTTAAGAAGAAGCGCAAAACATGAAAGAAAGCACTGAAAAATCGCTCGCTCCGGAAAGGGTGCGACGCAAAGAAGACGTGGGAAAGGAGCGGTCCGTCGTAGCGCGATGGTGTAAGCGTGAATAAGAATATGTCTTTCTGCCTGCCTGCCTATCCAAAAATTTGCATATCGTAACAAGAGAAAGTTGTCTCTAAAATCATGGTGTCAGAGAATCTAAATCATTCCCGCTCGGGAGATAGCCCGAATCGAATCGCTAGGCCAAGACAAGGACAATATGGTTTTTTGAATAAGTAAATGTAAAACGTTTGAGAGCGTTTTATGGTTTATGGTATCATTAAAGGGAACTGTTAGCAGTTGCTCGTCAACTTCGCAACCGACTGCCTTAAGTATCACATTTCCTGCTGGCCACCTTCTGACCTCGTCTGGCCGTTCCCTGGCCCAAGTACGCAGACGACGACCCTAAAAAGCGGTGAGCAAACACTAGTTGGGGGCCCATCTTTGACGCCACTTAAACTTTGAGGACCCACCCACATCCCTCGAAGTGCATACACTTTCTCTCTTTCGAAATCAGGGCGACGAGTCCAGCTGGGGACTGATCTTGAGGAGGCACACGTTTCGACAAGGAGCGTGTTCTCTGACCTGCGCCAATTTGGACGTTCTTGGTTTAAATGGAAGCTATAGTCGACGATTTTCTCAAAACAAAGTTACATTTCTCCAAAACCTCGTTGCCCTTATCCAGATCGTCGTCACCCTGCTTTGTCTCGTTGCCATACTACTTCAGATCATCGTCACACTGCTTCAGAATGTCGTTCACCTTTTCCGATAGCCGTCAAATTCTTCAGGAAATCATCATTTCTCTCTTGATCGTCTCTTCAGGACATCGTCACACTACTCCAGATCGTCGTCAAACTTCTAAACTCTACATAGCATTTCTTCAGATTGTTGTCCTAGCGCTGCGAGATCGTTGTACGATTTCTCCATGTCGTTGTTGCACTTCTGCTTGCTACTTTTTTACAGGCAACTTTTGAGGCTATTTGAAGAGCCAGTTTTTCAAATGGACAGCTTCCGACGTTTTATTCGTCAATTTATCAAAAAAAATCGCTACCAAACATCACTTTTTTCGCTGTGGTCCTGCAGGAATCGGGATAAACCAGAGACGCGCCGGCCTCTTTCAAAAGATTTTGCTCCGATAGCCCGCAGCGAATTTTGGAACAGGGCTAGAGTGAATCTCGATGAGTTCCGGCGGAAGATGGGCTCGAAAAGCGCGGCGCGAATCCGGAAAAAGGGAGCGGTATAAAAGAGTGTCTCTACGCTTCTATCCCATTCAACAATGCGGCTCTTCCTTTTAGCTATATTCGTGGCTGTAGCCGTTGCCGACTTGGTCGACCTGTCCAACGAGAAGCCGGAGCAGACCAAGAAAGAGCCGCCGGTGAAGCCGAAGGGCCTGGGGCCGGTTGGACAATTTGATGAGGAGCACCTGCCCGTCGAGGAGCCCAAGGACGACTCCGGAAGGGCGCCAGCTTCGCTCCAGCGCGACTGGTAGCCGCCTGCCGGGAGGTGACGATCTGCCGATCGCCGGGCCCGACGGCGAGGAGATCCATGTGCAGAACTTGCCGACCGCATCGAGAGTGGGACAGATATGGATTTCTGGATGCGGATCACGTGCAGCGCTTGTGAGGTGGGAAATACTATTAAATCGATAGGTTTTTATTTCCATACCTATTTTCGAAAATCACTTTTAAGGAGCTCGCTATTAAAAGAAAAATTTTGGAAAAGTAATGTAAAATGTTGTACGAACGAATTCCAAAATCACGAAATGTCAGAATGCCGTAATGTTCTTAAAAACCTTTCTCTCCCTAGCTATACCGTCGCTCTCTCTCTCTCTCTCTCTCTCTCTGTTTCTTTCTCTCTCCCCCTTTCTCTCTCTCCGGTCTCGCTATATCATTCTCTCTCGATCGCTCTCTCTCTCTCATTCTCTCTCGCCCACTCACCTCCCTCTTACTCTCTCTTCCCCTTTCTTTCTCTCTCTCTCTCTCTCTCTCTCTCCCTCTCTCTCTCGCCTCTCTCTCTCTCTCTCTCTCTCTCTCTCTTCATTCCACTTTTTCAGCGTACCATCAAAGAGGCCCGTCAACACTTCCCGAATTCCCACTCCGTCTCCTATTCCGAAAACCGTAAATGGCTCTGGGACAAATGCATGAACTATGGCGCGTTCTGGGAGAAGGGAGCATGAGGGCAAGAAGAAGCAGGAGGTCCCCTAACATCTGGATACCCTTAAAACCCATTTCTAGCAATTCGTCTGTGAGCAAATCTTCAAGCACCGCTACAGCGACTTCGACAGGGCCTCGACCTCGCCAAGCAGGGGCCGACACAACGAGATTTGCAAGATGGCCAAGTGCATCGATTTGAAATTGTGAAGGGAATAAATTTGAAATGATTTTGTGAGAAAGAACATGGGGTGCAAAAATGTCGAGGTTAGTGACCCGCAAGGCCGAAGTGGGATTTGCCTAAAATGATTTTAGGGGAAAATCATTTTTCAGTGTTTTTTGTGTTGATATCTTTTCGCGTACGCGATATCCTGACTTAGGTTTTTTGGAACCCTAGTAGATACGGTAGGTAGTATTTGCAGAGCAGCCTGATTTAACAAAAAAAAATTATTTCAGGTAACGATTTTCTGGAATCGGAGTAATTAACAAAATCAATTTTTCCCAAGGTTTAAGCAGCCGAAAAAGTTCACAGAGGCTCTTATAATCTGGTAGCCGTTAATGAAACTATACTTTTCTTGGACGTTGGCTTCGAGGCAATGAGTTCCACCGGGGAGTTGAGCAACCCTGGGCAAACAATTTTTGACATCTGCAAGCCATCCTTTTGCACTTTAGTTTACAACCAACCTGTTCTCTGGTCTAAACTTTTTTCGATTAGAATGGAGCCTTCCAAAGATAATAAGAAACCTTCCATCTATTTTAAGCATTACATATTTATTCCCAGGAAAAGTCATACGTTTATACATTAAATACAGTTGCAGGAAGTATAGATTTTTCGGTGAATCGGCACGGGACCGCCGCCTGCCTGTCATTGGCTCTCAATATCTGAAAATTGAAAGTTGAATGGTTTCGAGTTGGTTATTTTTAGATGCACCGAGTGTATCTAGAGGATTATGGGTCCAAAATAGACTTAATATAGCTTTTGGAAAAGGGGGGTCTTAGGAAAAATGATTTGACCCCAAGTCTCGGTCCTCTCAGAGTGAAAAGATAAAGTATTCACGACATCGCCAGCTCGCAGTGACACTCCGGAAGTCATATCTAAAAGCAGAAGTTAAATGTAACGTTTAATAACTTTCAAAGACCATCCAAAGTCTAC